CGGGAGGGTCTCAGGCCTGAGGAGTGTGCAGCTGACGTGCGACGCCCGGCGGGTCGGTGGGGCAGCAGGGGGCCTGGCCTAGTGAAGGGGCTGCTGTGGCCTGGAAGGTCAGGGATGTGGTGAGAAGTTGCAGGTGCAGCGGGCATGCTGGGCTCTGCAGCAGGCGGGTGGCAGTGGGGTGGGGTGTGGACAGCCGCCTGCCGGGGAGGCCAGTGTGAGGACACGTGAACGGGGGTGGGAGGGGGCACGAGCAGGTTCCCTTCCTCAGGCAGCACACAGCTCTGAGCTCTGGGAATCTCACCGGGGCCCGGCGGGTTCTGTCGAGAACAGAGTGGGACCCTCCAGAGCTGGACGGGGGGAGGGAGGGCAGGATCGGAGGAGGTTGACCGAGAGTAGGAGAACGGATGGAGCCTCATGCCCAGAGCCACGGTGGAGTTGGCACCAGCGTCCGGCCTGAGCGCCAGGGGCCGTCTGCGCTCCTGACCCTCCTGTGTCATCTCCACACCGGGGAGGCAGGCGGCTGTGAGGGCGGGACTGGCCCACTGAGTGAGGACAGCCTCACCCTGGCTGTCCGCTCGCTCAGGTGGGCCAGTGCGTCCGCTGCGAGCTGCAGGCACTAGTTGCTGGCAGCAGCGGGTCCCGGGAGTCGGGACGTGGGGGAAGCTCCGTGCCCCCAGCGCGCACTGCCCACGTCAGCTCTTGCTAAGTGCCCATTAGAGAAGCGCCTTTTCAGAAAATGCACGTTTCTGAAGGGTGAGACCCCTCGTTGCTCGGTTGAGGTACACGGGAGTCCTCTGCAGCCTGGGGGGCGGGGGACAGGGTGGCTGGGCCTGGTGAGTGCCCACAGCTCCCCCGTGTCCGCTCAGTGTCCTCTGCCTCAGTGCCACGTGTCTGACCCGTGTCTCCTGTAGAAGGTGGTGTCGGTGGGGCCGGCTTTTCACTTTCATGAGAGAAGGACAGGATTGTCTTTGTCATGTGTAATGCCAGGTTTCAGGCTTTTACATGATTTTACTCGGAAGAGAAAGGGTCTGGGCTTGGGGAGCCGTGGGAGGTGGCAGGTGCGGAAGATGCAGGAACACGGGCTCCTCAGTGTCGCTCCCCATTCCTGGGGCCGAGGTGCCCCCCCTCCTGGTGCAGGGGCCCTCCGCCCAGGACACGGGCGCCTGCTTGTTGGTGCACAGGGGGAGGCAGGGCCCCGCCTGCACTGAAACGGTCCGGGGCCTCGCCGTGTGGGGAGGGGGT